TAAAGCTACTGCAGTAAAAACATATATAAAGGTTATTATTTATTAATACCTAATACCTATTACATAGTAATGCTGCTAGCACCCCTAAAAAGTAGAGAAAAGAGTAGCCCTTTTAGTGCTAAGAGATAATACCCTATCTTTTTAGGTCTAGAAGGTAGTTTTACCTGCAGGTCCTTTTTACAGCAGGTTAATAATATGTAACTACTCTTATAAGAGTTAGCATAATAATAAGCATAAGTTAATTTAGTATGCTTAACTTATAACTTAGTGTTATTAAAATAACACTAGCACTTTTAACTTTTTTTTTAATAGTAAGTGCACTGCTAATTACTTAGTAACTACTTACTTAACTTTATCTCTATAATTTAGCCTATATAACTATAAACTGCGTCTGCCTTCTTTTATAAAGTAGACCTTATAGCCTTTAGAGTAAACTATAACCTACTATTCTTCTAGTAAACATAATGTTTACTAGTAGGCTAGTTAGCCTAAGCTTATAGCTAGTAAATAAGGTTTACTTGTTAACCTTAGGTGTAGTATCTTTGCAAGCTAGGCACAGGCGCAGGCACTACCACAGTAGGGGGAGGAGGAGAGAGAAGGGGAGCAGCTAAAGAGGGAGGGTTGTCCTTAAACAGCTGCTAGACCTTGTTGTTGTTGTTATTATTATTATTAAAAGGCAGTAGAAAAAAAAGAAAAGGAGAAGGAAAAGAAGAAGAAGAAGAAGAAGGAGGAGGAGGAGGAGGAGGAGGGAGGCAGAGGCGGACAAGGAGGGTGGGAGGGAGGCGAAGGCAAGGGCGAGGGCGAGGGCAAGGGTGATAGTAATAGCAGCTATACTAATATTAGCAACCTATGCTTTTAACTATAACTACTATAAAAACAGTAATAGTAACTAATAGCTTATAAAGAGTAGAAAATGCGCCTACTGTAGGTTACCTTACAGCTTAAAGCAGCAGCTACTGCTATAGCTTAATGTTTATTTTAAGTTATAAAACCTAGGGCTTTTAAGAAAGACTAAAAGTAAGGCATATTAATATTATAGTTAAAGTTAAACTTATAATATAGTGTTATTTATATTACTATTTATTAGTTACTAGTAAGTTACATGTGTTATACTTTTACTACAGTAACTTTACTATATTTTTACTTTTACTAACTTCTAAAACTTCTGTAAACTCCTAGACTAATAAAGACCTTATAATGTATAGTACTTTTTTAAATTATAGAATACTCTAAAACTTTAGCTAACCTCTACTAATTAGATTACTATAAACTATAATTTTACTTTAAATATTTTAAATATTTTAAGTGCTTTAAAACTTCTACAAACTCTTAAGCTAACTAAGGCATAAAGTAAAAAATTAAAGCCCTTAAAAAAATGCTTAGGCTAATAATATAATTTATAACATATTAAATAGCTTTTTTTTTTTATTAGTTATATATTACACTTTTTTACTCTAGAATACTAGTAAGAAACTAAAGACTTTTTTTTAGTAATATAATATATTTCTATTTATATCTACTAATGCTGCCTAGAGTTGCAATAGTGTAGTGTTTACAGCTGCTTTATATATATATAGCTTGTTTTACCTACTGCAACTTACATTATTGTGTACTATTACTAGCAAACTCTTGTCTTTTAGGGGCTCTAGCTAACTAGATTAACTAGTGCTAGCAGTTAGCGTTACTAGCTTAATATTAGCCTACTTTTAAACATCCTAAAGAACCTAGACTACATGCTAAAAAAAGTTATTTATAAGACTTTATAAATATATAACTTTTTAAATAAGGCTTAATATAATTATATAAATAACACTACATAATGTGTTGTTTAAAAGTAGTATTTTTAGTATAGTTAAGGTAAAGGCACTTACAGTTATACAGGTATTGTCTAATATAACTAGCTAGAGGACAACGCGGCCACTAGAGGATGCAGATGCAGCCTACAGTGTACGTTGCAGTGCTACCTTTTTAGCAAAAGCGTTATTCTATTAATAGATTTAAGTAATGTAATTTACGCTTAAATCCTCTATAGATAATAAAGTATAGACTTAACTAGATTTATCTTACTTTACACACTAGTGTTATAGCTTTTTCTTATAATAGACTAAACATATGTTTATAAACGCTACTATGCCTAAAAGTACATTATAAAGTGCTTTAGCATTAGTTCTAAAATGTTTTTAACTAAATATAAATAGAATATACTTATATATTTTATTAACTATAAGATTTACTTTAATAGTATACTTAATTTTATAGTATTATAATAGCTCTTATTACAAGCATGTTCTTATATACATAAATAAAAGCAAAGGTGCTTAACATGTAGAGTTACTATAGTGTCTCTCTACCTAGATTCTAGCCTACTTATTAAAAGTAATAAGTATAAAGGTAAAAAGTGTGCTTATTTTTAAAGCAGAAACTACACTTAGAGGCTTTAGCAGTAGTGTAGCTAGCAGAAGAAGTGCAATGTTGCACTTTAAACAGTAGGAACCTAGTATAATAACAGATCTGTCTTTTAAAAGAACATTATACTTCCCTAGTTAAAACAGAATACTCTTGTAGTAATATAAACTATTAGCTATATTAATCTAGTAATTGCCTATGTTTGCCTAGGCCTATATATTAGACTTTGTCTAATATCTAGTAGAAAGCTAGTCTAACTTAGCAGTTTCTTAGCTAGACTTTTATAAGTAGACACTATTTATGTTACTAGTATTACCTAGTGTAAAGCTTTAAGCTAATTAACTATATACCTTTACTTAATTAACTAGTAACTAATTCTATGCTATTTTTCTTTTTAAAGGCTGTTTATTCTGTTTAGGGTAAAGTAGTAAAACGCCTAGTTTATATAAACTCTTAGAGTTAAATAACTAATATAGTAGAAATATATACATAGTACTTAATTAACTAAGTGCGCGTCTACTGCGCCTAGCACGCTGCTAGAGATCTAAAAGGCTCTTTATAATTAAAAACTTTTAGTATATAACGCAGTTAACATTAAGGATATTAATACCTATACCTAGCAAAGTAGTAGCTACTATAATTTAGATATAAAATGTTAGCTTTTTAAACTTAGAATAACACTTGTTCTAGTTATATTTTTACACATTTATAGTAAATGTCTCTACTATGTTATACACACACTGTAGACTATTATTAATATTAGTTATATACTAGTTATAAGGTTCTAGTCCTTTTATTAAATAAAAGAGCATTAAGTAAAACTACACTGCAGCTAACTAAATAGATATATACTTATTAATAAATATAACTATTTTAGAGATTTTTTTAGAATTAGTACACCTACTTAAGACGCTTTCTTTTAAAAGAAAATAAAGACTATTTTATAAGTTAACTTTACTTTATAGTAAAGAAACTACTAAAATAGTAATATTAGAGTAATTAACTAATATACAAATAACTTTAGTTTAGTACATATAGTAGCCTAGCAGACAGAAACTAGCGTAGCGTAAAACTGCATTCTCTATAGTACTGTCTAATGTAGTAGAATAGGTAAACTAGACAACATTCTTTTAAAGTATAACTTATAGTTAACCTAGTATTATAAACATAAGTTAAAACTTTTTTTAGTTTAATATAAAATAACATTTATTAATAGCTACTAATCTAATCTAAAACTATAACTTTAAATTCTTTAGAATGTCCTAGAAAGCTTTACTAGAAGCCTGCTTTAGCCTTATAAGTAGATAAGTAAATTTTTTATTAGGTAAATAGTTCCTACTAACTAGCCCTACTCTACACATTAATAATACATAGCTTAGATCTTTTTAGTTGTTATATATTGTCTAGCTACTTGTCTTTAAGCTTATTTAGTAAAATAATCTAGATAGTAATTTTAGCAGTTAACACTAAATAAGTGTAAAAAATTATGCTCTTGCTAAAACTAGTCTAGGTAATTAAAAAAGTATCTTTATAGTTAAATATTAGTTGCCTTAAAGTATAGACTTACTTATTATATAGTAATAGGCTACTATTATTAGCGCCTATTATTTTTTCTTTATAAAGAATCTATGTAAGACACGCGCAGAGAACGTTCTTCTAGAATTTAATATTATAGACATCCTTAGCTACTAAGATAAAGCTAAGAAGATTCTTTAACTTTATAAATAAGATAAGATTAATTTAAAGCTAAAAGCTTAAAGAAATAGGGCTTTAACTTATTATATTTAAAGCATTCTAGTGTCCCTACTCTTTCTTACTTCTTTGCTATTTTAAACGCCTATTTTCTTTTTTCTTAACTTTTTTTTTTACTATACTTTAAAAGTTTCTAGAAGTCCCTAGAAGTCTCTAGAAGTTCTTAAAAGTTTTTAGAAGTTCTTAGAAGTTCCTAGAAGTTCTTAAAAGTTCTTTAAAAGCATAGAATCTCTAACACCTTTCTTATTAACTAGGTTATATAATGTAGTAAGTTAAGCATAAGTGTACTAATAACTGCAACTGCACACCTACGCCTGTTTACACTAAAGTTTTAATTACAGAAGGCAATAAAGAAGGCATGTGTGCCTTAGCTTCTGCAGTTATAAAGGGATACAACGCGTAGTGTTAACAGGAGTAATAAAATAAAGATAAATAGTTAATAGCTAGGACACATAACATATTAAAAACATGTTTAATAATGTACTTTACTCTTTAAACAGTGTTAGATATGTTTTAAAATGTACTTATTATAAAAATAAATACCTTTATTTTTAATTACATTAAACATTTTAATAAATACTAATGCTAGTGTAGTGCTATTGCATAATTTAATAGATTTGTAAACTAAGATATATACAAACTTGCTCTATTTCTTCTTAAACGCTCTGCAGATAATTTTGCGTGTTATTAGTAATTAGCCTCTAATTAGCCTAGAAGACCCTAGAAGTTTTAATTAGCTTAGAAGTTTTAGAAGTTTTGTCTAATCTAAAATAGTATTAGTGCAAAATCATCTGTGGGGCGGCTGACTCGTGAGATAAATCTTACTGACCATAATTAGCAACATGTCTCACCAGAGCAAAAGCAGCACACCAAGGTTTTTAACACAAACAGCGCCCCGTACGCGAAGCTGAGGACTGAACCTGACCAGCTGGACTTCAAGGACTTAGCAAATTCAGTCTCTCTTGGTACTGTAACTGGGCCCCACGAACAGCAGGCTTGGCAACTACTTTCTCTTCTATTTGACGGCGACGACCGGCCTTCTGTGGCCCGAGAAGAGTTTGACCAGTATAGAGCTCGGTGTCGCAAAGAGAAGCTGTCTGAATTTTGGAAATCGCTTGTATATGAAGATGCACAAAGGCATGCGAAGGAAGCACAGACGGCAGAGGAGAAAGCCATCGCCTTCCTCAGCTGCAACTCCGTTGACGACGCCTGCCATGCTCTCCTAAAAGGCCTCGACCTTCGCCTTTCTACTATTGTTGCCCAGATTGGCGGTGATGAGGCGATGCGTCAAGATATGACTTCGCAGATTGAGGAATGGCGGCGAATGGATGTACTTTCCGAGATGGATGAGGCTGTGCGTACGCTGTATGAGCTGATCGCTGGCAACTGCGCTCAGTCGGAAGGCAAAATTGGAGGCGGTCGCGAAAACAAAGCTCTCACCTTCAATATCTGCAGCCACTTCAAACTTGACTGGCGCCGCGCTTTCGGCCTCCGTCTTTGGTATGGCACAAAGGCTGATGAACCCATTGAGATGGCCGTCGCCCAGTTCGCGGATGCTCTCCAGTTTGGAAAAGAAGATGTGAAGCCCAAGCCCTGGTTTGTTGAACAAGAGCTAGATATGGGATGGGACGACCCCGAGAAGGACAACCGGGAAGACCTGCTCTGGGGGATTCTGAAGCTCTATGCTTCTTCAAGGCTAGAGTTGGCCGCAAATGTTGAAGATATCCTAGCCCCAGAGAACGTCTCTGGTCACCCACTCAACGCCCGCCTGTCTTTCCAGCTCTTTCAGCTGTTCAAGTCTCGCCAGGATGATTACCGGGAAGATACTGAGCGCATCATAGGCATGCCAGCTGTCCGCAACGCCAGAGGTCAACCGTCGTCGCTCCTCTCCTCTACCGCGTCAACAACGGACAGGGACGACCAGGCAGACGACCCGCTCATTGAGCTTGGCGACAAACTCACTATCACCTATGCAGCGTCCTTGCATACCCCGGAACACTGGACGACGGCCGTCTGGGTCTACGCTCACCTGTCCAGCCCGGCTATGCGCTCGCATTGCATCCGTTCCCTTCTCACCCAATTCTCAAACACGTACTCTCTTACCGATACAGACCCCACCTCCAAGTACCTCTCTAGTGAACTCCTCATCCCGCACACCTGGATGCATGCTGCCGCTGCCCTCCAATCCAAGACCGAAGGCGATGCCCTCCGCCAAGCTATGCACCTCATTAAGGCAGATGAGCTAGAGGAAGCGCACGAAGTCCTGTGCCGCAGCGTCGGCCCAGACTCCGTCATCTCACGAGACTACGACGCCCTTCGGGAGCTCATGGGTGGGTTCTTTGGCACGCCTACTAATAGTCCCACATCTGAACGCGGACGCGCGGGTAAACGTCACATCAAGGAGCCCGTGCCAGGCTGGAACCAAGGCGGCCAGATCTACTTCGACTATATCGAGCTGATTGATCTCACGGGTCAGTGCTCGACGTACCGTGTGGACGAGGAGCTCAATCAGCAGATTGGAGCTTTGCTGGCCCAGTTGCAACGCGCGCTGGAAGTAGTGGCGAGGGATAGGTGGGAGGGTATAGGGTTGGAGGAACGGGCTGCACTGGCTGAGATTGCAGGGACGGTAGCGAATCTCAGTTCGAGAAATAAGGCATGTAGCCTTCAGTTTTGGCTCTCGGTATATTAGCTAACCAGAAGATAGGCGAGCTCCCGCATCCTCAATCTGCCCCTCACGGAAGATCTGTGGCTAAAGCATTCGTGTGAGCTGAGTACCCAGTACTACCGCAATGTGATGGCGAGCGGCAAGTAGGAATTGCTAGCGAGGAGGAATTGTGTGGCGTGTAGTACAAGGATGGCTATATGCATAGGTAGACCGCCGATGCTAGGGAATAGGATGTGGGTGAGATGTGAGACTTGTGGGAAGACGGGATGGATGCCACGGTGGAGTCAATGAACGTGAGTGATAGGTAGAGTGGCGTGTAGGATGCATTGATAGAGAAAATGGGTAATGGGTGGTGCTGTGGCGCGCATGCTGGGGTGAAAAGGGGATCGATTCGATTCGGAACTTTTGTAGTATAGTAATCATTGGTTGGAAGTAGAGTTGGCAACAATCAAGTCAACTTAATAACTTGACTTAATTAACTTAATTAATAGCTGTTAATTAAGTTAATTAGCTAAGCAAAATTTACTAAGTTAATTAAGTAAATTATGCCTACTTAATTAACTTAATTAACAGACTTAAATCCCTAGGATCTTAGGTTTACTAGGGGATACAGGATCCTTTAGTGTGCAGGAGTAGTAAATATAGTATAAGGCAGCTTAGCTTTAAGAGACTTTAGAGTTGTAATAGTTGCCTAACTAGGCTTAGCACTATATATCTAAAATTCCTTAACTTCTACTGCCTACTAACTTACCTGCCTCTACCACCTCTCTTACTCTACTAACGCCCCCCTCTATTAATATAGCGTTGCCTAATTATTTAGAAGGCATAAATAGTAACTTTATAAAAGTCTAGACCTAGCAGCTTAAAAGCGCAGCCTTATAAATTACTTTTAAAAATAGCTCTACTAATTTAGCTACTAACGCGCTGTTAGAGCTTAACGCTAATAAGAGCTCTATAGGAGGCACCCTTTCTACTACTAACATTAACAACAATAATAATAACATGTATAAGGGCATTAAATAAACGTGTCTACTTAATTATTATAAGCTAGCTTACACAGTAAAGCGCAGTTAAAAAAGCTAGGTTTAGCAGTATAGGTATTACCTCTAGCACTGTAAGCAACAACGCTTGTACTAGCTTTACTACTATTACTACTGTTATAAGCACTTTAATAAGTTTTATTAAGCTAATTTATTAACTATGTTAATTACGCGCTATCTTGCTAAGTGTAAGGCTAGCTATAGCATTAATAAAAATAGCCTAAAAGCTACCTCCTGCGTCACAACTCCTTCCTAGTAATCCTCCCTACTTGCCTACCTCTACTATAAAGGCCTTAGAGTATTTTAGGGTGTTGCTAACCTTATTACAAAGAGCTTCTTACACATAAACTTCCTATAATTAGTGCTTAACTAGGTAGTGGCTAATAACTAGGCGCTCTCTGTAATTAAGGGCGCTGCTTTTTAAGCTATGTTATAGTAGGCTAACTTGTTAGCTAAGGCAGAGCTGTAGAGGTCCTATAACACCCTATAAGCTTATATAATTGCAGAGTACAAGTTGTACATGCCTGCTGTTATTAATTATCTTTATAACACATAATTAGCTATATATATCTCTCTTAATAATTAGACGTTAACAGGTAGCAAGCAGGCGCTTATAGGGATCTATATACACCACCTTAATTGCAACAGCGCGCCTTGTAATTATGTACTTAGCCTACTCTTATTAATAGGCTAGCATATAAGTGTTAATATTGCCACTGTTGTTAACACTATACTTAAGAGCTTGTTACAATCCTTGCTTCGTGAAGCACTTAGGTCTTCTAGTGTTCCTAAGGGGAAAGTAGGACGGATAGTAGGGGCCAATCCAGTAGGGTGTACAGTCCTACGTACAGGCTATTAGGCTAATAGAGGCTTATATAGAATAACTAGATTATAGTTTGCCCTATGTGCAGCAGTAGGGAGGCTAGGGTTAAACAGTCCTTTTAGACAAAGTTAGAGGTATATATAGTGTAAGATATACAAATAGTATTATAGCTCTTTAGAAAGCTAAATGCTACTTAGTCTATGTAAAGAATAAACTAAACATTAAACACACTTTTTAAAAGTTGTTTAATGTAGGAACTATATATATATACTAGGAACACTAAGGGGAGTTAGCAGAAGTTTATAGGAGCCTGCTAAGAGGGGCTCTTATAAGCTCCCTTAGGCTCTCTAAACTTGCAGCCTGTTCTTCTATTAGACAGTGCATTCTTCTATAATCTTAGGTAGCTGCGCTGTCTCTGCGTCCTCTAATTAGTTTGTAAGCAAGCCCTGCCCTAAACTAGCTAGATTATAGAGCACTGCTAGTAGAGTTACACTAGTCTAACTGTAGACTGTAACACGCTGCCCCCTTTCCCTAGCAGCGTCTTTGCTGCTCTGCTTACACAACTATGTTAGTAAAAGTTTATTTATAAAGTAAGCATTTACCTACTAAAAAGTATCCTTAATATTTATTTATCTTATACTAAATAGCTTATTAGTCTTATTTATTCTACTGTCTTTATGTTACTTATTATTTTAATTCTTTTTATTAGATAAAAATAAGGCCTTATAGCGCTTACTAATTCTTAGAGTTATTTTATATGTTAACTTTGTCCTTAGATAAGTGCATTAAGTGTGTAAAAAAGTATAGTAAATGTAACACCTTTATTTCTAATACTACATAGAATTATTTAAAGAAGAAAAAAGAAACACTTCTTTAAAAGGCTAAAGCTTTATAGGCCTAAAACTGTGTGTTGTAAAATAAGTAATAGGCTTAAGTCTAAAAACAGCTCTGCTTGCAAGAGAAAATGTTAGAGGCAATAAATAAAAGGTATTTTAGATAAGATTATATCTAAAAATTACTAAATTTACTAAAGGCTTGTTGCGTAAAGTACCTAAAAAGAGATTTATTCTCTTTAGACAAAATAAAAGCTTTTAAGGCTAAAGTAAAAAGTTATTCTTTTCTTTAACTATTATTAGCTAGGACTTATCTCTAAAGGCTGCTACTATCTAGTAATAATGTAGCTATTTTTTTTAATATAGGTGCTTTATTACTTAGCTAGTTTCTTTTAGACAAGCCTAAAGGTACCTTTATACTAATAGCTACGTGTTTCTTAAATTCTTAGCTAGTTCTTATGTGTTTTTACTAGTAAGCTACTTTTTCTATTTTACTAAAAAAATTTTTTAGTTTTTTTAGTTACTAATAATGTGCTTAACTTTATACTTTATTTCCTTATCTTTTTATCTTTAAGTAGATAGGAGAATCTCTTTAAGTGCTTTTTCTAGTCTAGAGATATAAAACTACAGATGTATCTTTATGTGCAAAGAAAGTTTAAGCTTATAATTCTTTTATTAAGTCTAAAAGACATTATAAGGTCTTATCTTTTTTTCTGCAAGTTTCCTTAAGGGTTAGAGTATCTTAAGGTTTTTAGTATTAAGGTATATGTAATCTTCTAGGTAAATTTTTAGTTCTAGTTATTATAATTTATTTACATACTTCTCTATTATTTCCTTACTAGATCTAGCTTTTATAGCTAACTTTTTATGTACCTAACATAGGTTTGTTAGCTAGTTTATTAACTTTTATAAGTTTATAAGTTAATTTCTGTGCAACATAAAGTACAAATTATATTTAAAATTAGCTTTATATAGTGTTTTCTTTATTATAGCTAATTTTACATTATTAATAGCTAACTGCGCTATTAGAAGCTATTCTACTTAGTTATTTTAAGTGTAGAAAACATACTTTCTTAAATATCTCTTTATTTCTGCATTTACTTTTTTAGTCTGTCTATCTATCTACAGGTAGTAGGCTGTTAATAGCTTGTGTGCTATACTAAAGTGCTGTATTACTACTTTTTAGAAGCTGCTAGTAAATAGCTTATCTTAATTAAAGATAATAATCTTAAGGCATTTATATACTAATATTACATTTTATTTTAATTTATAAATAAATTTCTTAGCAGTTATTATTTTTTCTAAAGGCTAAGTGTGTAGATACTTAGTAGTTTTATTTAAGGCTACTATAATTATATTGCACATCCTGTCTATTCTTAGTTTCTTAGATAAAAGTAATTCTATAATAAAATCTATTATAATTATTATTTATAGTAATTTTAGTGCTTTAATTAGTTAAAAGTACTTATATGTCTTATGCCTCTGCAAGTTGTTCTTATTACAGGTGTTACATTTCTTAAGCACCTTTATATACAGTTGCTTTACCTTTAATATTTATTATAGTATAGCAGCTCTTAATTTTTTCTAGAGGGTGCTTATTCTTAGATGTTTAAACATTAGAGATTTATAATATTTCTTAATTAAGTTCTTTTATCTTTACTTACTAGCTATAAGCATATAAAATTCTTTTATAAGTTAAAGCTTATTATAAATTTATTTTTTATTAGTTTTTTTAAAAAGTGTAAACTTTTTAGTTCTTTTTTCTTTTTTATTAAAGTAGTCTAGTCTTTAGCTAAGGGTGTTAGCCTACTAATTTTGTGTTTCTAGAACATGCTTAATAATGTAGTTAAACTAGGCAAGCTCTATTACTTATTTTATGTGCATTAGTAAGAGTTTCTTTACTATTAAAAATATAACTAGATTTACATAGTTAGTTATAATATAAAATAGCTTTGCTATTTTATATAGTTTAGTAGCCTATACTCTTACAGTGTTTAATATTACTTTTAGCTCTTTATTAGGTATGCTGTAGCCTGCTTTAGGTCCTAAGAATTTAGCAGAATAATACGCAACTAGGTGCTATTTTCTGTCTTCTTATTTTTAGTAAAACGCAGCCTTACTAGCTCTAAGGGACATGTCTGTGTGGATTTTTATATCTAACTATAGGTTGTACATCCTTAGTACTAGTTTAGCTATTATAGCTTGTTTTAAGGCTATAAATGCTTTATTTATTTCTAAGGTCTAGATAAATTTTGCTATAGCCTATTCCTTAGTTATAGCATTTGTTAATAGTATAGTAATTTTTAAGTAGTTTTTAATTATTTATCTTATATAGCTTAATAGTCTTAGAAATCTTTTTACTTCCTTAACTATTATAGGTTTTAGCTATTTAAGTACTTTTTATATTTTAGCTAAATTAATTTTTATTTCTTTTTTATTAATTATAAATTTTAAGTATTTTATTTTTATAACATAGAATTTATATTTAGAGAGCTGTAAATAAAGTCTATACTTTTTAAGTTATTTTAAAACTTTTTGTACCTTCTATATATAGTCTTCTAGGGTGTCTTTTAAATAGATAAGGACGTTATCTAGGTACACTAGGGTAAAGATGTTAAGGTATAGGTTAAAGGCTGTATTAATAATTTGCTAGAATGTTGCTAGGGCATTTATTAAACTAAACAGCATT